GGGTTGGGTTGGATGATCATCTTAACTTGAGGCTAAATGACATCATACTGTGTGACTGTTCCTTTACAGACATCATATTTACTCTTTACCAATTTTTATGCTCTTTATATTTCCAATTCAGTTATCATCATCAATTGACCTTATCATCCAAGTTTAAAACCCCTCCATCTCCATCCTAGTTTCAGTTGCCAAGGCTATTGGCTAATTGTTTTTACTTAATTTTTGCCATGTTCATAAGATGGTTACTTAACTATTATATTTCTCACAAAAAAATAGTTATGTAAAAAACAAGTTTTGAGGTCATTTTTTCTATTGTTGTTCTACAAGATTATTACTGAAAGAAGTTATGTTTTACATGTTTAGTGTTCCTTGTATGGGTGTCTATTTAGGCTACGTTTGGCCAGGATCAGTTGATTTAATGTATGTACCTGAAAATTGAGTGCATTTTGTTGCCATAAAATGTGTTAATTCAAATTTTCTCTTTTTTTGAATTTTTTTAATTAATGTACCTTATAATTCAACTCACATTTGACAAAATTTGATCAGATTTGATCAAATTTAATCATCATAATCTCTGTTGACCGCCATCTTGAGCTTAACACCTTCATCCCAAAACCATGTCAGACTCTGAATTTTTGTCCGGCAAAGATCAATGGACCTCCTTGTCCTCGTCATTGTCAGCTTTATCAGACAGCAATGAAGAATTAATGGAGCTCCTCATCAGTGCTGCTTGAGACCATATTGAACTAGCAAATCACTCAAAAGTTCTGTGTCAGATGTCTGCACTTATAGGTGCTATGTATGCGTGTGAGGTTTATGATGGAAGTCCAGTCCTCTTCTGAGAATTATGTCAAATGAACAAAGCAGCCACCCACTTCCAACAAAATTGCGTCGCATCTCGGCATGCGCGCTCACATAGCAAGGTGAGATGCGATTTCGTATCGCGTATGTGACAGGCGATGAAAGTCCCATGCGATGTGAAATCGCGCAGGTTTCAAGCGATTGGACCTGTCAAATCACATACATGTGTGTGATTCTACCCAGATGCGATTTAGGATCGCGTCTACTCAACGCGACTTGACGATGACGCGATCCTTAATCGCCTCAACTCAATCCGACTCAACCGCTCAAGCGATTCAGGCTCGCGGCACCTCAATGCGACTGAACACCTCACGCGATTCAATCCACTGAATCACTTGAATATCATGCGAAAGGATCTTCTCATCGCTCAACCTCAATGTGATTTAAGGTCACGTTCTTTCCTGCGACTCAACACCGCCATTTCTTGTCGCCTCTTCTCGTCCGATCCAATCCCGCTCTCCTCAATCATCTCATCCTGGCACTCCTGATACCGAAAAAATAGGATCTACTTTGGAATCAATATGATGCTCCAAAGTCTTATTTTGCTCTGATAGACATCATTAGTTACAAAAACCAATCGTCCCATCCGAGAAAGTAGAGTTACCAATGCCTATAACGTCAACAAAAAACAATTAAAGAATGAAATTTACAAAGAAATAAACATGGCCAGAGAACAGTTTCATGCCGATGGTTTTGAAAAATTATCTGATGAGTTGAGCTGAGTGTTTTGTAATAACCAGCCATTTTCAAAAAAAGAATCAGCCCTCTAATTCAGTCAATAAGCTTTGCATGCGCGGAATATGACCGTTCACTGCCTCGTAAAAAGTTAGCGCAAGGCAGGTTTGATGAGATGTTTTTTTGCGGCGAAATCCTATGTATGCGCATCATTTAGCTGGCACGACGGTGGATCATGTGACAGTCTTAAGGTATATGAGATGTTGATGCACTCTATTGAAGATCTTTTCAATAGAGTGCATCAACTACTTGAAGGGAAAAAGGGTCAATTATAAGTGGTAGCTTATGATGGTGTTTGAAGGTGGAAGTTGAAGCGCTTCACAAATTGAGAGTTGTCCCATAGAAACTCTGAACTTTACTCCTCTGACTGCACGTGGAAAACTTTGACCATGAAATTGTAAGGGGTGTCAAGTCCAATGTTTTACGGTTTTTCCGTAAAGAAACTTTCTCCGTAAAAAACTTTCCCGTTGTAGCATACATGTAAAATTCACAACACGGATTTAAAGACCTCACCTTGACCATTTCACTATTGGAAAAAGGTGGCCTTGATAGTGGATGCAAGAGTTGTTTTGTTGGACTGTTAAAGCAGGGGTATGGTATTTCAAACAAAATAGCCAATATTCTCATAGACTAACTGGAACATTTTAAATCAAGAGAAACGCATGATCTATTTCTCAAGCTTCCACCTATACTTCATATACACACTTTATGATTCACACCACCACTTGAACCATTACATCAAGATCCAAAGCCACCCGTCCCTTAAGGTGCATGAGTGTAGGGCGGCGCGGCGACATCAGGTTCCATTCTATTCGCAGCAGCAGCATCTTCGACATCACAGGTGCGTTTACTGTGGACAAAGTATCATGTCAGTCAGAATGATCTCATTCAAACGCAGTATGTTATTTTTTTGATTCCTTAACTTACATCTCCTGAGCTATCAGTGCCCACAGAAGCCCGATGTCATCTTGATATTGTCGAACCATGCGCTTGAAACGTTTGTACCGTTTGCGTGACTCCTTTGCTTGACGCTTCAAGATTTCACGGTGAGCAATGACTTCGGGATCTTCTGAACGTAACATCGTGTGGATGTATCGAAGCATGATTCGAGCCTGGCAATAATCTTGCCAGATGTCGTCAGTGGCTTCTTCCAGATAGACCATCGAGCTGATAAGATGCTCAATCTCGTCACTGTTTAGGAAGCCGTGTCTTTGTACATGTTGAACAATATAGTCAGGTATTTTGTGGAAGGACCCGGGTTCCAGATTACTTTTGAAGTAGATATCAAAGTTGCTTTCACGTTCATGAGATGTCGAGCCGCCTCCGGGGATTGCATTTGGATCTGGCTTTTGCTCATGACACGCGATGGCTTCTAAACCGGGTAAGATGCCGCTAGTTACGCGGCCTAGTATAGGTGGAAACACCATCGCTACAGGGTAAAAAAATCTTTCAACTTGTAGCTTTTGAAATATGAGAAATAGAGAAAACACTGACCAGTATAAATTTTGCTGCAGCGGAATCCGGCGCGAGTAAGGAATCGATGGATGTCCAGCTACGTCGACCTCTGGATAAAACCGCTCGAATGCAGCGCAAATCAGGTATGAAAGGGGTTGTTATATGTAATCGTGCACAAACCCACTTCACAAAGGGTGTAAATCTGTCAAGTTTCACTCGTAGAAGGCTGACCGTTTTTCTAAAACGTATACTTACCACTCAAAGTTGCTTACAATTCGAAACCAGCGACCTATTTTCTTTCGGCGGAAATCTTTTGTACGTCAAAAACATAAGACGATTTCTGCACTAATTTTTAAATTTCTCAACATCAAGCAAGCTTTATGACTACCAATCGCTAACACTATTTAGCTTAGTCTTATATAACCACAGATCTGTTAAAATTCATTGATCATTTCATTTTATTACTTTACCGATGAAACATATCACTAGGCTCAAACTACGTGATCTTGCCGAGAAGAATTCAGACAGATGATCACTGGAGCTATGATGTGCAACCTCCCGCACGCCATAAGCGAAGAGGAAACATAATAACCCTCGATGTGATCCTGTAAGTGAAGCAGTTCGCAACTCTACGGGGATGATATTAGTAGTGGGGATAAACTGAGTGGGAAAATATCAGCTTAAAAAATGGAAAAGAACTTGAATACCAACATATCGTTCATGAAGGAAAATAGAAACCCTTGTCCTATAGAAACATTTTTTGTTCTTTGGACAGAAGGTAATTGAAAAGATGTTCTTCGTGGAAACATTTTCATCTTTGGAGCTTTTAAGCAAGAAGAGTTCAAGGTGCGGGTAGTTGGAGAAGAAAAATAGATGACAAAAGGACTCCCATTACAATCAATGAGCTGATACCACCGGATTGTATATTCCACTCTAAATCAAACCGACAATAAGGCCTAAAACATACGACAAACAAAAAGCAGTGGCTTCCACCTGATACCAAATACTAGAAATTGAATCAGCTGAATGACGATCTGTTTACTTGAGAAATGAGCTGACCGCTAACCATGCAGCCTCAGTCACAAAATAATTCCATGAATCCTCACACGATAAACACATGTATGATGTTGATTTCCATGATTCGAATTGATCTTGAAGATGACCTTGTTGTAAACATCTTTTGTCGGTGTAAATTCAAATGTCTGGGCAATTGACGCTTTTGATGTATTGTAAAAGGCACCGAATAAGAAAAATTCCGAGTTCACATCTTTGTCCTCCACCAGACCCCAAAGCTCGAAATCTTTAGGGGCTGCATCTATACTATCTTGAGCCAACTCTTTTCCAATGTGCTCGACTGTGACACCAGCGATGTTGATAGGGTGACTTAGGGCAATACCCAGCTGTCCTTTTGAGCCATTGAAGGCCCAGCACGCACCAATTGAGCCGTCACCAGTCAAAACGATTTTGGGTAACGTAACTGAGGGAAGGCCACTAAGGGGGGCAAAGAGAGTTCCCCATCTTCTTGGGCCCTCGAGGGGGGCGGGTACACCACGATCAAGACTGATTGATTTCGAGGTCAGGCCAGCAATCACCGAACCACCAGTCTGTATAAATGCAAAATCTCGACGACCATCTTTGTCCTTCGTGCATGTCTTCAGAGCGTCCTGAGCAATGGTTTTGAAATGTTCAATCATTTGCAGGAACTGTCGAAAGTTCAGCATCGCGTTGTTGATCTTGTCATGGGTGGAATCTTTCAATGTCGACTCAGGAGTTTCGGAAAGCGGGGTGAATTGACCAGGTACTTGAAGCGTAGTTATCTCATCCCATAATCCAAGATCGTGCGAGACTATCGAAAAGGCAGAGATCCAGTAATCGTGGACCTGTTGAAGGTGTTGGACTTGCGTTTCCAACTCATCTACTTTCTTTTCCGTCATGTGCAACCTATTCAAAATGGGTTGAAGGTTTTCGGGGTCTTGTATACGTCGGACATGATTTCCTAATTCTTTCAATTTCTCATCCATAATCTTCAACGCCATGGAATTATCCCCCGATATGTCGCCTTCTCGAATAGATCTGAATTCAGCTTGTAATTCAATCAAGTTCTTGTTGGTGATATGCAATGTTGCCGAATAGCCTAGATTAAAGCAGGTCAGTATACTGCCAAGGAAGTCGGCTCATATAAAATGCTTACTTGTGAAGAACCATAAGACAAAGGCAGAGAGCACGATCAAATACGATTGGCGTATAGACCGGGAGATCAAAAGCTTGACCACAAGACCACACTTTTTACCGATGCTATGTTGGTAAATCTCCCTTTCCTCAATGTGGATATGACTGGTAGAGTGGCGGTGATTGGTTCTCTGATCTGGCATGTTGATCACAGTGAGCGGTGGTCTAGATTTGGAGCACAAAATCTAGTGTTGGCGGACAACTAACACCGTGGGGTCAGCATGTACTTAGCCGCCTTAGCCGCCAACTTCTGGATTCTTCCACTGTATGAATCGGATGACTGTTCCCTCCTCCACAATGGGCTCGCAGTTAAGGTCAATGGACGGTCCGCGTCTGCTTACACAATTTCAGTGACACGGGGCCTAAAGATGAGTGCCTGGAAGAATGCTTGATTAGTGCTGTAATTTTATTTGCATCAGTCTGCCCAATCCCAATGTTTTAACCGGTCTTAGCAGGAAGTTTATCTGGATCTTCTCCATATAGAATCTTACACAACTCATGATGTGCACAAAAAGACTTGTATAAATCTAAGTGCAGATACAGCATTTTGATGGCAACTTTAACACAAACACAATATACAAGTTTCTAAATGGAAAACAAGGAGAAATCTAATGATAAGGATTAGAAAGTGGTGAGATGAGAAAGAAAAGCAAAGATACAATCTGACCGCTTATGATAAAAAATCAAGATAATGCTCCATTAGGTACATATATGCTCTGTGGCTCTTATCATACTGGTTTCCTAGTGATGGATAAGATAGGTTTCTCCACGTTTCCATCCAATATGTGTTCATCAAGTGTGTGCAACAAAAGGAGGCACTGCATAGCACTTCCATCGACCGAGTTTCTGGTGGCCTTGTGCCGTCTTTGAGCCATATCCTGTCAGAGAGAAGTTAGTTCCCTGATATGTATATAGATTCATTGGTGAAAGTCGCTTGTATTTACTTACTATCCAGGATTGAGCGTTGTCATGATAGAGCTGAATCATACGCCTAACCTTCTGTAGATAGGTTGCAACTTCTCCGGTGTAGTCTATGGCTGACCTGATCGATTTTAGGAGGAGACCTGATGCATGGTATTTTGAACTTCCAAAGAGATAAGAGACGCTCCAGGAATTGAGACTTGCCCGCAGAGTCCTTTCGATGTTGGAAAGTTCTTGCTTTGCAACTTGATTTGCTTCTGTTGTTGACCAAATCTCGTTAATCGTAGAGTTGGCAAAAATTTTGAGAAGATCAAAAATGTAAACAGTTTGATCAAGCAGTTCTTGAGGAATCTCTAATTTACTTGGAAGATTTGGCTGCTTCAAGAGCAACTGAGACTGGAGAAGAACATCAGTTTAAGTAGAAGGAACGGAAGTCAGAGGTGATGTACCAACCTCTTGCTTGAGCAACCCCATCTCAGTGTGCCCTTTACCATGTAGCTGACGTAACTTGTCGACAACCAAATTGACAGCATCTGAAAGATCCCAGAGGATCACTGAAGTCTCAAATGAGCCCTTTAAGTTTGGTTGAAGTCGCAGTAAGCCCGACATTTCTTGTATGGGGAGTGTGTCAATTGTCTGACGGTCCATCTCGAGGCATAGCTCGTTCATTGACTTGACGATATTTTCGGAAGAGTGTTGAACAGAGGTGATCTCGTCTGAGTTCATACCTTGCCTGAGCCTTATCAACAAATTAGTTTCACGACGCCATGGGATCGTATTTGGCGCTAATCTGTGATCACGTAAATTAACAAACATATTCAATATATAAAGCTTGCTCATTCGGAGAAAATGGGCGACCTGAAGGAGCTTCCTTACATATGAAGACACGATAATATACTCAGGATCAATATGCCCCCTGCAAATAATCTGGATAGCGGAGTCCAGTTATGCCATGCGCCTGGAGCCGACGAGCTTTGGAAAGATTTTTCAGGTGAGACCTGCTGTTGAGAAGCTCCTTGCCTCGGGTCTTGCGCTTCTTTTAGCGATGAACAGTTTGAAGAGATTTGTTGAAGCAATTCGAGTTGTTCCAGACAGGGTATGAGGTGTTTCCGAGGGGGTATAGAGTGTTCGGTATCTGAGTCTTCCTCGTACCCGGGTAGCTGTGGAATCCTCTCAGGGTCGCTCAAGAAATCCTCAAAGGTGATAGATGGAATGTGTAGCTCGCCGAAGAAAGGTTTGAAGGTGGAACTTGGAGATGGAGATGTTGCTGAAGCTTGCATCGGGCCTGAGAAAAAATTGTAAGGGTTGGTCGGAAAAGAAGACTCGGCGTTTGTCGTAGTGGATAGAGAAGAGGCCGTAATCATAGTGCAAGAATACGGAGATTCAAGAAAGAAAAGAGTAAGTGCATGGATTTAAACAGAAGTACAACTATAACTCAACTTGAAAAACCCTGAGGCTGAGCCCATCCTATTACTTCGCATAAACTGCTTTTGTATTGCACTTCTTGAGAGCCACGATTGATCAGCAATCGTGCTAAGCTGCTTGGTTCAGCGTGATCAGTACCCACTAATACGTCTTTGGCTCAGTCAGGAGTTTCCATGCACAAGCTTGGGTGTGCTTCAATATGATTCGTTTCTTATACTTGAAAGTTTATCACGTACACGCTGTGCAAGACTGCGTCGACCTGAGTACTGACCACCGGTGGTACTGACTTGCTGGAACAATTGGAAGAACCGAAAAAGTGAACAAATAAGGAAAAGAGAAGAAACACTGAGGTTTGGATCTATGGAGCAAAGGCAAGAGTATAGAAACATGATATGAGGGTGCGGTTAGATGAGTTGAATCGAGGCCAGTGGGGCATGAAGTGGATGAAGATGAAGCGGCCACGGAAGCTCGGATATGTAGAGATATTGTCCTGACTCACCAGTGTTCGGACTAGATGGCCGGGTTTTCACAGTTAACTCCTCATCCATAAAAGCAACAGCGCTTTGAAAGATCTGTACATACATTTATGTAATTTGAGGCAACAGGGAATAATGTTGTGTACCAGGTTCATAAGTAACGTTCCTTTTGATCGTCAAAAGATCATTTTCTAATTGTTTATATGCTCATATCTTTATATAAATATACAGTTTACTTTTTACATCTTTCCAAAAGGCTATCTGTATCAAGAAGACTCAGGTTGACACTTTTACGGCTTGGTTCATGAAATGTTTTGCACAACTTCATGAATTTTACGGTACATTTTCCAACATCCGGCAAACTCTCTGATGACTACCAGTTGCTAGTACTGTGGTTTAAATCTTTGACCACTTCGTTTTATTTTTTATGAATCGGGCAAATGTTTTACACGCCAAGAAAATACAAGTTTGCCCAATTACATAAGCGTATGTAAAACGTTGTTATAAAAAATTGTATAACGCCGCATTAAAATTAACGTACCTTCTTTGACAGCCATCAATCATCGTAAAAAACTCAAATGCAAAAAGCCACAAAGCTGTTTCGTCTGCAAAAGCTGTTTCGCGAAATTCGACTCGAACGGTCCAGCATCAAAAATTACGACGAACATTTTGACTCGTTCCGTCAATTCCATGACGAATATGGACGTGCGTCTCGGCTCATAGTTACCCATCCTTACCCATCCTCGCAAGTATGGATGACCCACTCGCACTACGGCTGACAAACCTGTGATTATCGAGGCCGCCAAAGAGAAGATTAGCAAGAATAATCCACATCCTGAAGGCGACATGCCTTTCCCACAAGCTACAACATTAAGAAAGGTCCTGGGTCGGAATCAGACCAAACCGGACCAGAACCAGACATTAAAGGAGGTGAGTCATCATATTTCTTTTGCAAAGGATTCTTCCTAACATATGTTTTCAGATGCTTTCTCATCTGCGAAAGAGCTTGTGGCAGCCATGGACACGATTACTTGGGAAGAAATCAATAATATCTTGATATCACAGACCGATGAAGACGAAGTGCCCAAGGTCAATAAGTCACAGTCTCAAAGTGAGCAATTTCATCCTTCATCCGGCCTTGTTCTTCTTGCTGACCAATATAACTTTGTATCTGTTGTAGGTAACACCGACAACCAAAACAAAGCGCCCAACAGGAAAGCGCTCATCAAGGATTTGGAGGATGAAACGGCAAATGAAAGCAAACCCGTGGTGTCATCCAAAACACGTCAAAGGAAGAAAGGTTAGTGCTTCTTGAATCTCATCCCTTACCCTAACCGAATAGTCTAATATGATCTTGTATTCCTTCGCAGCCAAGGCCAATGCGCGTCGTAAGGCTAATGCCAAAAGGGGGGTAGCTGAAGAAGAGGCAACTGCAGAGTCAACCCCCGGTGAGAATTTCATATTATTTTAATTTTACCTGATCCTCCAGGCTCACTTCTTCGTTGTGCAACAGTGGGATCCAAGAAAGGATCAGGTTGGAAAGGTTGGGAGCTTGTGGCAATTGACAACCTCTTGACGGAAGTCAAGACTGAAGTCATTAGCCCAGAGTCGGCCGTTAGTGGTACCGTAAGGAAATCAAAGCGTAGAAAAGCTTAAAATACTGAGTTTTATATTTCCTTTCATTCCTTTGCTTTGAAGCGATATACAAACTAAAAGCGCACAAAAAAAGTTTATGATATTCCTGTTTATAATAATATCAAATCAGTATATAGTCCATCTTCCTAATAACACTTCATTCTTTTAAAAATCCATTCTTTTCATAATAAAAATCCATTTTCGTTGATCTTCGGTGAAAACAAACAAGGCATTGCTTGTACCTACAATCCAGGAGATAGGGTTTGCGCACGTCTTCCGCCTAGCCCACCCAAAAGTAATGATCTTATGAGTATTGTGCGAGATAAAAAGATTGTGTGAGATAAAAAGACATTATGAGATACACTCACGAGACACAAATTACACCGCTTGAGCCCATATGTTCCCAGCAATAATTGATTCTTGACTTGACTCTTGACTGGCCTCCGTGGATATGGTGACATTGGGAATCAGCCATCCTGTGTGAATGAATTGAGATATTTGATGAGATGAACTTACACTGCCCTTCGACAGTAGCAGAATGAAAGGAATCTTGAGTCGTGTTTGGGCCTTCATCATCACTGGTTGAATCTTCATGGCTGTTGTGAGTAGCCTCGGTGGCTGGACTTGCCATTGAGGCTAATTGCAGGTGTCACTTTAATCGAATTGCGGTTCGGTGAGAAGAGGAAGAATCTTACCAGCAGCTTGCTCCTCGATGAAGTCCAGGAGCTCGATATCGTCCGAAGACAACGTGATCGGGGCTTCGATGGCTGGGTAATCATGGTGGTAAGCGCTAGTCCCTTGTCTAAGGAAGGGAAGTCAGCTTACCTTCCTCGAAAGCTTCAGCAGCCAGAGCAGCCAGAGCTTCGTCGGACATGCGTAACTTATCCACGGTGTAAGTCTTTCCATTGATCGATCGACGCCAATCGTTGAAAGCTGGCGGATGTGGGAAGGGATTGGTACTGATGCATCCATTGACGCGACTGTGGCCGAGCTCGCCACAGCCAAAGCATTGGGCCAATCCGGCATGGATGCCCGGATGGGATCTTTCGTTGATGGTCCAAGGAAAGATTTCGGATTTTGAGCGGGGTGATAGGCCGCTGAACCAGGCGAGCTCTTGAGGTGTGGGGTTTTCCCACCATCTAGGACGAATTGGCATAGTGTTGTTGGTTACGATGAAGGTGTGATGTCAGGAATGGAGGTTGATGAGGATGTTGTGTACTTAATCAAAGAGCAAGCAAGAGAAGGATGTTCTGAAGGTCCTTCTCGAACAAGTCATACCGTTAAGATATCGCATCGAAATGATATCTCGACGGTCTGGATATCCTAAGTCCTCTCAAAGGTCTTTGCATACGTGACTTGTCGGTTTGGACTTATTATGCTCGCAAGAAGAGCTGTAAATTTCTATATCATACTCGTGAGAAACATATTTGCAGACTAGGTTCTTTACAAAATACAAAGGATGTGATGGAAGAGCCGGAAATTTGCATAATGTAAGGAGGTTATCGACTTTTATGCCACTGTTTTTTTACGGACGATCATGTCTGCAAGATTTTCCAAATAGACATCGCAAAATTATACTTCGAACAGCCCGCGCACAACTATACAGTCGATATCTTACAGCCCTTTTCCCTTGTGATCATTCCATTTTTGAGAATGTCTGTATAATTCAAAATCTTCGGGAGAATGTGGATTGTTACACACATCACGAGATCACGATTTGCGTACATTGATGTCTGTGAATCATAGTTTGTAAAAGTCTTGGGCCCCGTATTTTATGTTTTTCTCGTGAAAATCAATTTCCACTGGAAAAAAACATTACTGAGTTTGACTCGTAAGTGGTGCCTGAGTAATAAATTCATATTTTACGAAAAAGGGACACCTTTATGTTCATCCCGTTCTTCGTAAAATTTACTCAAATTCACGCTATAGCGGAAATCTTTTTGACGTTTTTTGTTGTAGATAATTGGACTTGACAACCCCTATTATCAGCCCTCTGTTCTATGCATTACTGACATAACTCGTACAGTGGACCGCAAGTCGAGAAAGAAAGCTGCTCAACAAATTTACTGTGCTGTCGATTCCTTTTATTTGTCTCACTCGTGTCTCATCGTGAAAAACCTTTTCTCTTCACAGCGGGAGAATCATAATGTTACAGTTTATAATTGATTGCTTGCAAACCGTGAGAGGGAAAACACATAGGATCCCGAACAAACAACATACATTGGTATTTTGTCAAATTCTCTATCTCCAACTTTGAAAATAATTGAATCTATCGGGATTTCATCAAAGTGACTTAAGAGACCAAACTTCGTTGTGAAATTTATTGAAATCTTATAGAAAAAATCAATTCATTTTAGAAAATTCAAGAATAGACAAATTGATTTGAGTGTTTTTTTTTGTTTAGGTGTCAGAGATTTCATACATGTCTAAGATATCGTCAAGGGTCATTTACCTGCACTTCATTCACTTGAATAATCAAACCAACATAAGTTCAAATAATATTGTAGAATGTACATCCACTAAAAAAGACAAATAGGGAAATGTGAGTCAAAAGACCTTCTGTAATTTAGATATATACACTATATACACGCATTGAGATTATGAATGAAGGGTCCGGCAAAAAATCGATGAAAGCTTCAGATTGAGTTGATGGGAAAGTTGAATGAAATCACGCCTGGAAATGTGATAAAAGTCCTGCAATGCGGTCGAGGTGGCCATGAATTTCCAGCAGTAGACTCCCCATCATTTGATGACAGTTACAATTGGGGTGCTCAGGGACAGGAACAACGGTACTTTGGTGTTCAAACGCTTGGTCAACATGAGTTCTAGCATGGTTATTATGACCTGAAGTGTTGTTGGAATTGGAGTCCGCTGTGTTGCTAGTCTGGTTATGGGTACTTGCAAACAAAGGACTGGGTAGAGTGATTTGGGGGCCTACATTTTTTATTTGAGTGAGTGGACGCAACATTCAGAGAACTGCGGGACATAACAACATAGGACATACCTTCAATATGATTTTTCGTACCAGTCATGATTGATTGTGCTCGCTTGCTTGCACCAATATAGCGGACTTGAGATGGAGGTCGAATTTGGCCGGCAGTCGTGGCAGTTGAGAGGGTCATGAGGCGCTTAGCTGGTCGCGCTGATTCACAGGAACAGGTGTTAGTTCCCATGATCATGAAGATAAAGGGCCCAATACTCACTTTCAATTGTTTGCTCTGAACCAATGAGGCGCTTTCTAGGTCCCTCAACTTTGTCAGCACCAAATTTATGTGAACCAATACAGGCCACAGAGGAATGGTTTGTAAAAGCACTGAGGTCGGAGGTGGAAGCTGTGTTTGAAGTGCCAGTAGTTGTAATGTCGGTATTGATGATGGCTATATCAGGAATCAGGGGAATCTGTCACCTGGGTGCCCGCATGAGTGAAAGATAAGACGGATGAGACTTGCCATTTAGCTCTGAATTGAGCTCTGACATAAATCCTGGGTTTTGTGGGTTGTCATCTGACAAGTATGCAAAGGAAATTAGATGATATGGCAAGTCGAATAGATGGGATAATTTTGGAACCAACCTGGCGAATAAATCTCAGAGTGACTTCTTCTGGTATTTGATGTCATTGTTGTTGGGGTCGGAATATCTGGAAAGACAAGATTATAAATTAGTAGTCTTACTGACATGGATTTGATGGCTATCAATGGAAAAGCCTTACAATCTTCTTCAGGAGATACGATGTCTATCAATGCAACAACCTTAGAATCTTCTTCAGGAGATACTATTTCCATACCGGATGGTGATGACTCTAAAAGAATTGCGTGACTGGAACTGGAAGGCTCATCTGACGGTGAAGGTACGCTATAGCCTTCGGGGGTGTTTGAAGTGATATCAAAAGTGATATTATGTTGAACGGCCACGTGCGTTGAGATAGTAAGTTTTGTATTGGAATTAGACATGATCAGTCAGAGAAACCTGGTAATGAGATTATGAACCAAGAAAAAGAACGTTGAGAGGAGAACTCCTGGAAAACTGAGGTGACTTGTTGAGTAGATTGAAATTTGATCAAGTGGAAAGAATTGTTTTAATGATGAGAGCCGTTCGCCTAGCATAAGCAAAAGAAAGTAGTTGTAAGTATCAACTTGTGGAAGAAAGGCAGTGAACATTTGTTTGTTTTTATCATCTTGCAACTCACCCTTTGAAGATCTAAAAGATGGTCCGGCGAGTTGACTCCAAAAGTGACAAATGCATCTCATCAGTATTAGAAGCAGAGTGTTGTTAGATGCGATTGTACTTACCCATCGATTCCACTTACCATAACCTTCTGTGTACTGTACTGGCCGCTACTAGCCATAGTGCCTTTTTTTTCTCTGTCTTTCTGCATCAAAGCAAAAGAAAGACATAATATATATCAACTTTTGGAAGGAGGGTAGTGAACATTTGTTTGTTTTTATCATCTTTCAATGACCCTTTGAAGATCTAAAATGATGGTCCGGCGAGTTGACTCCATAACCTTCTGTGTACTGTACTGGCCGCTGCTAGCCATAGTGCCTTTTTTTCTATGTCTTTCTGCACCTTTGTATGTAAGTCTTGTAGGCCCATGTCCCGGTACGGGAGAATCCTATGATGTCATCCTTCGAAGGGCTTGAATTTGTAGTTGACAAAGCCATTGTGGAGTTATAATCGGCGGAAGTATGTAGTCATGTGATTTACATATTCTTGTTCTTTTATTCAAATAAAACATTACTACATATTTCCCTCGAACATAACACCACAAGGGCTCCTGCACGCCCTTATGTAAATGCTTGTTACCTTCCAGGTAACCGGAGGTTGGTCACACCCGAACAGGCGCGGAACCGCGCCTATTAGCAAATCTTTCGACATCGGTATGCACGCGACAAATAGCGACTATGGCAGATACTTTATAATATAATAATATCTAATTAAAAAAATCTCTCGAAATTTGTCTGTTCAGTTATGTTATAGCTCAATTTATCATGTGTTAGAGTTCATGAAGTTCCATTGATATGATATTTCATCTTTTGGGTAGTTATTTTGGATTTGCATCAATATAATCTATTTTTTTGTATAGAAAAGGCAGATAAAATGGCACATGAGCGGTGAGTTTGATGTTTGGTGAACCTAGTATTCCTCGAACGGGCTGATGAACTTGAGTGTGTCAGAGGAGATGGCGCGTCATGGTGATTAAGACGAAAATCGGTCGTGGTACAGTCAACTCCCTCCAAACCCATACCATTTTATGGAAGCCCAAAACTATGGGTTTTGTGGGTGTATGGTTTTCGAGGATCTCCCTCATAGCCCATAGATTAAGGTTTGGCAGGCAAAGTATGGGTCAAGAGGGAGATAAAAAAATTAAACAGCCATTCAAAAAAGTTTCATTTTGTCATTTTTGTGCACAATAACAATAGTTACAAGAGTCATGTAGTTACTATGTTTTGAAGTAGTCAGAGACTAAGGGCTGTTTCAAGGAGTGTGTGTGAATTAAGCAAAAATGTCTGCTAGAAGCACAAATAGCAGCTTCAAAGGACAAGGCTGCTCAGCTCATTGTTGTTGAATTGACTGGCAGCCTTAGTCACATCACCCTCTGCTTTGATCTTCCTCAACACAAGTGTTTCATCTGTTAAGTTTCCAGCACAGCCTATGAATTGTTCATCTGCCTCCAACAATTTCTTCCCTTCACTCATAAGTTGCTTGAGAGGCTTGAGTCTTTTGTTTTTCTCTGCTTGTAGGGCATTCAAACCGGTGTCACTATCTGATACACTGAATTGTGAAAGGTCTTTTGGAACCATTTTGAGACTGAATGTGCTGAAAAATACACAGGCATGCAGATTCTTTTCATGAATTGTCAGATTTGACAAATTTTGGTTATGGCTTTGACCTCAGGTTTCCTGAAAAAAACTATGGGTCATGGGAATAGTGCGAGGTATGGGTTTTGGGCCACTTTTCCCCGCCCATAAATTTTATGGACCCAAATTTCTATGGGTTAGCCGGAAGTATGGGATTAGAGGGATATGGGTTTTGAGGGAGCAACTGTATACGGATTCCGGAGACCCGTTCTGCCATCACAAGACCCGAGTCGTGAGCCGGCCCGGTCGACACTGAAGAGTCTGTCACGTCAGTTCTTCTGTATGTACAAATTCACTCCTATCTTTCAATTGCGACAGGTTCAGTCAGGCATTGATTCTTTAATTATGACGCATTCTTCCAGACTAGCAGTGTTTGTGTTTTGTCGAAAATTGTCCAATCCCCTAAGCTTAAACGATTTCAAGGATAAGCGACGAGTTATTCCAGTACGAGTTAAACTGAAGAGCTATTCGTGCTATTATTACTGATATTCAGAAAGAGATATCCACAAGCAGATACTATCATTACCAGTTTGAATAGACTGAAGAGCTTGTTGCAGCTATTCATTAGTGTCTCTGAAGCCAAATGATGCAACAAAAAGATCCATCGATTATGGAATACTGTTACACTCTTTTGCGTGTAACTTTATTGGCTTCTCTGGACATATGAGAGATATCATGCAAAGGTCTTTTCATGTCTACGTAGTTGAGGTTTCACTGTGTATATACCCACTCTCGGGTGAGAAAGCCTGGGCTGCTGATCCAAAAACGGTTCTTCAAGGCTATGTAAATGTATTTTGATATTTTCCGGTTTCAAGCTTTGACCAAAGGCTTTACTGGCTGGTCATTCCCCCTTCAAAACAGTTTAACTCGAGGGCTCTTTGAGAGCTGCACCCACAGGTGGTTTATTGTACGCCGGATATGCGGAATTGTGTACATGTCAAGAAGCATAAAATTCGAAAACGTATCAAAGGCATGAAAAGTTAAAAACATTTGATCTACTACAAAGAGTCATAGTACGTGCTCAACCGAGAAGCAAGATCTCCAATGTCCTTCTGTTGTCCATGTTTATTGAGTGGAGGTCCAGGATTGATCACCTTATCCATGTAACGTTCGTTGAGCTGGACTGATGAACTTAGTCGAGTGAAATTTTGGGAAGGCTCTTGTGAAGGTAGAGTACAATGGCGGTCCTTGTTACCAAAGAAGATCACACTTACAGGACCATCACATGCCCCGTAGTCAATTATAACACCTATATCCGCCAAAAAAAACGCCCATCAATCACGTCAAACCCTTGTGCCTTTGTGGCGAGCCTTCCGTCTTTAGAAACAGGAATTGACAAGAGAAAAGTTGCTGTGGAGGAGTCATGATCTGCATGTGCGGTGTTGTTGAATTTGTTCATCGTGAAAGATAAATTTCCCGCATGCCCATGCCGAGTACCTTCTTCGGCGTCTGTTGAGTGAAGTTGCCCAAAAGATGGTATCTTTAAATCTTTCATCTGGTCTTGGGCTTGTTTGAAAAAGTACTCTGATAGATAAGAGTATTGTTGTGCATAAAATGCCTCCAGTCTGGCGCGAAAGGGTAAGCGTTTCACCCACTGATCCAAGAGGTCTTTGTTATCTTGAATAAACTTTCGGGGAGCATAGAGGCCTTGGAATATGGGAAGAAACCATGTCAATTATAACCAAGGGGTATATTGTATATTCCAAATGCCATACATACCGTAGTACTCTAATGACATGAAAGCTGCTCTCCATCCTATGACGCCCATGTACCCACCTTTCATAGCGGCATTCAAAGTGACCGGATTACAGAAGTATTTTTCTTCAACAAGATATTTGGATACTGCTTCAAGTTCACTCAGTTCATCTCGAGACATGGTATCAAATGGGGTGAATTTGATTATAGCAATGACAGCACCGTTGTTTTGATCCGTGATGATGCATAGGCCTTTATAGCATGTGAAAGTCGATGAATGGTTGGCCATTTTGACTAGAGTGCAGGTTTGTAATTTGGTTTCTTTAAAAACTCGGCGGACACTGTGACAGAGGGGTTTTTGTCCAACATGGTATGTAACGTATTTTTCGATGGCATTCTTTCTTCTTTTGGTGTTTTGGGTAACTGGCCTCTGGTTGTAGGATTGATGCTGTAAAAGTTACATTCAAAATGACATAAGTGGATTCCGTATTAGTGTGGTGTTGATCCAAAATTCCAATGAAGAGGAGACAACATAAGGAACGAAGATAAGAAATTATGATTTGTGACTGCTTGGCTGTCATGTACTATGTCATGCCATGCAGTGTCTAAAGGTTTGATACAGTGAAAGGTGAGATATGGTGTACCAATTGGTGGGCTGACATTTACTATGTCTAGCCATCCAATGCAGTTGAAGGTAGTGAAAAACGGAATGATGAAAAAGGGATGAAATGAGGAATCATGTTGTATGGACTGAGTGGCTGACATCTACTATGTCTTGCCATCCATCATGATGAGCAAATGAAAGGAGAAGGAAAACAAAGAATCTGGGCAACCGAAACAAAATTGTTGTGAAGTTGCTTACGTCTTTTATGTTGATAGGATTCTTGTTATGGTCGACTTCATCTGTTGAAGATGTTTGATAGTAAATTTTTAGGACACACCAAGAGACTTCAAAAAAACACTGAACGAAATGAAGTGTGTTTACCAAAGTAACGCTTTTTTGCACTAGCAAAATGCACAGGAAATTTGGGAGGGTCCTGTGGGGGAAGTGGTTGACCTAGAAAGAATAAGGCACGATAAATTGGGAGACAAGTGAAATACAGCACCATCATCATCATCATCATTATCAGAGATGAGAAGATGAAAATGAAGGCTGACCAGTGACTCTGGCGATGTGTGCGTCGATTGAGTCCATGAAATCTGGAGTATATAATGCTTGAAAAGACGAAGAAGGTTTGAAAGCGTGCGGAGGTTTGTACCACTGATCAACAGACATTGAAATAGATGAAGGATCAGAGCGGATTATTGGGGTAAGCGTAAAGTGCTATGTAGTATTTTTGAAGGGGCAGCGATGTGCGACAACAAAAAGTAATATATATCATTTGTAATCTACAATACACAAATTTTCTGATACCTGCCTAGCCAGCCTTGCTGGTCTAGATGACGAACTGCAATTCCAATCGAGATCATGAGGTGTGATGGAAGGTTGATGAAGCCTAGCCAGCACGTTGAGTACCCTGCGGCCAGACCAAACAGTTGTTCCCACGCGACTTTGAAACTCAACCTCAGGAGTTCCACCCTCGGCCACAACTGTCAGACCGCTATCCCTAGCTCATCAGCCATAACCGACATGCCCTTGTCAGTCACAACTCGACCCTTGTGTCTCAAAAATGACTACATTCTGAAATGACTGCTACGGATAATGAACGAAAACCAGGGCCTTCGTAGGATTAATGATGTAACCCCACTCCAGTCCGAAGTTACAACGACACGCGTAAGGACTCGTGTGCCTCGAAGATGCGTAAATGTGGCATCAAGACTCCTTCTGTCGGCGAGACGCTTACCTTCTTTGGTTTTTCTGCCCCATTGTATTCGCCTCAATAACAGTTGCAGGAGTCGGGAATCACTCAAGGGCGTCACGACAGTTTAATCCGAAAGAGGCTCAAGACTGAAGCATTGAGAGAATATCTTGGGTACTGTCCCTGAGCTAGCTAAGGTCCTAGTGCCACAAAATAGCTTACAGAGTTCAGTCCTGTTCAGTCACATTGGACATTTTGGTCAAAAACTGATGCTGTCATTTGTGTGCGACTGACCTTCTCAGATCCTTGGCTACTGACTTCGAAACGGTGGCAAGACAATGTAGACAAAATTAGAGAAGACAGGAAGGTTATCCTCATCGCCCAATGAGCTGGAAGTATGAAAGAAGCACTATCAACGTCCATAACTGTTTTTGAATGAATAAAAGACTCTTTGAGGTGAAAATCAACTTGTACGGCTAAGTTTTGCTCACGGGGTATCCAACTTCATACTAATAGTACATACTATTTGAAGATAAGTTTATTACCTGCCTGCATGTCAATCATAAATGATAACGCCCCCGGTTAAGCAGTGCCAGAATTTGAACATATTTACTTCCAAACAGATCTCTGTGTATTTTCTTTTGTTTCCCTCATATCTGATACATATACTGTGGCTATATCTCCCCACCATGAGTCAATTCAACTCAATTGTGATTTGCTACACTCGACAAACCCGTGCAGTGAATGAAAAATGTCAGGGAAGTATTGGCAGCCATACAATAGAAACAGAATCTCGGAAGCTTCAATACAAGCGGTCGTAAAGTTTGTAGTCTTAGGCCTATGAACTCCAACCTTTTTGAACTCTTGACCTTGGCTCATATAATGATATCGAATACATACAGTCGCCGCGCGCTATAAGTATCGTTATAAATGCACCAGAATTAATGCTTACAAAGCGCGATGCATCACTTCGAAAGGAGCATACTGCATGTTTGCATTTTTGTTCCACCAAATTTTGATTCTTATAGCGAAATATGCTTACTCAATGTGTGCTTTATATCGAGCGGTGACTGTATACATACGTAGCTCGGACTTCAAAAAAGGGGGTGGTTCGTACGTTTGGAAGAGCAAACTAAGCAAGTAAACACCGACTGCTATGATCGATCACGTGCTAGGAGCTTAATATTTGCGACAATCACTGTGATAAGCTAAATGTGAACCATTCCTCATCAAGAAGCAATATGGAGAAAATAAAAAAGGGAAAAAGAACACAAAAACGGGTGCGGGAGCGAAAAAAAGAGCGTAAGGTTACAGACCAATAGCGATGTGGAGGAGACATACATATAACCAAGACGATACGGCGAGATATATGTCTGGATCTTGAAGATTACAACGCGTTCAAGATTACAACACCAGAGCACCTTTTGTGAATTCACGTAAAATTAAGACTACAGCGGAAATTCTTTTTACGTCAAAATCTCAACTTCACTTCCCCTTGTCTTAATTGCTGTCCTCTGACTCGCGGCTCCGGTTGCTTTCCATCACTTCTATCGTCTTGGGTTTCAATTATTCTTTTAACCTTTTCTTGGACTTTCTCTAGTTCTTTTACCTTTTCGCTCTCTTTCTTTAGAAATGCATTCATCTTCATCTACTTCTCCAACACTAGATCTCACTCCAAATAGCTCTTCGAGTCAAAATCAACATCAACCTATTCGATCTCTTAAACACTCTCTTGATCATCAAGATCAATTGCATCCTTCATCCTTATCGCTCTCAGCCGTCACTTTATCTAAAGATCAACCACCTATTAAAAAAAAGCAAAAATTGATCCCAAAACCAGCTCTCGAACAACCAACAGAGAAACATTCGAGTGTTTCATCAATTCCCAAAGAAAAGGAAAAATCGAAAACCGAAATTGCATTCGTGGATCTTATGAGTGAAGAAGAATCACTAGATCTAAATGGAAACCTTCTATGTCATTTGAAATATGAAACACAAAGAAAGACTTGCTTAGGTTTACCAGCTAGATTATCAAAGTATAAATGTTCATCATGTGTACAAAAAAAAGGGGGATCTATTTGTGCATTCTTAAATATTAGATCATGGATACATTCAAAAGCGACAAATGAAATTCTTGGAGGACCAGTTTTTGAAGCGGAAAATCATACGGCATCACAAATTAGTTATCGTTGTGCAAAATTTCCTACTCAATTTGATCAAATTCCTAGTATAAATCAAGTGGTTGAATTGAGAAAAATGGTGGGAAAATCATTAAAAACAGTTTTGGAAAGAGAATTAAATGAATTTCAAAATGATGATGGGCAAAGTGTGAAATTTATCGGAAGAAGGATTGATGTTTCGACTCGATGCGATTATTGCTCAGCCACTTTGATTGGAGTGGCGTGGATGTGTGAAAGGTGTGGGCATTTCAGTTGTATAGATTGTTTTGATATTTTGAAATCGGTTTGTGAAGATCAATGTAATGAACAAGAAGATGCACGTAAACAAGAAGTAGTAGTAGAAGATTATAATGATAGGAAGCAAAATGTTGTTAAGTTTCATTCGAAATGGATTAAACGGCTCAGATGTTGTGTGAAATCGTTTGGATCCACACACAATCCTTCTCATCATATAAAAATCTCGCATCTAACCGAAGGAGAAATCTTAAATTATTTACATGAAATTGATCAAACATTTCAATTAGATTCAAGTACTACTACTCCTCCACCCACACCGTTTCCTCTCGATACTTTCTTATATCAACCACCTGATTCTGAGAGTGATCCTTATTATAAATTAGATGTCGATATAATTGAAACTCATCGTGAGATATTCGATCAAATTTGGTCCTCTGGGATCGCTTTGGTCGTCACAGGTATGAAAAATCGAATGAAAAAGGATTGGGTTCCTGATTATCTTCAAACAACATACGGAGAAGAACAGTGTGAAATGTTAGATAGTAATTTACCTCATCGGGATCCTGTCAAGACGAAAGTAGGAGACTTCTTTGAAAAGTTTGAAGACATGAATTCTCAAGACACAACCGTTTGGAAACTACGGGTGTGTTTTATTTTTCTTTGTGGTCAAATGATATTATTGATAGCCTGTGTTACTTTTGGGTTTTGGATTGTAGGATTGGCCACCTGAAGCAGATTTTAAAATCAGGTTTCCGGAGTTATTTGAGGATTTTCAAAGAGCCCTACCAATCAGTGAACTTACCAATCGAAATGGATTTAAAAATTTAGCGGCCCACTTTCCTAAGAATGCGAATGTTCCTGATATGTTAGTATTGTTCATTACTTATTCATCTCTTTTTTTCTTCACTAATACTACGGTTTTGGTTCTCCTTTCCTTGAAAAGTGGACCAAAGGTTAGATTCCTTTTTTTGGTTTTTTTTGTTCTTTGTTCATGTTTTGTCTTTATGAAAAATCAGATGTATATCGCGATGCAAAATTCTCATCAGAAATATGGATCAACTGCGTATGTGCTGTTTTAATCAAATGTGTTTTTAATTGATATCTTTACTAACTTTTCTTGTTTGGAATCGGCTCAAAGGCTTCATATGGATGTAGCAGGTTTAGTTATGAACACTTTAATATTATTGATTTTGGACCTCACAAAGATTATAATTCAATATATTCAAATTTTCTTTGTAGATGCGATTAATGTACAAACTTATGCGAAACCCAACCAAGAAGGTTCGGAAGGATGTGTACGTAACAAAATTTTAAGATTTCTTCTCTGATTCTGATTTCAATTTAAGGTAAGGAAAAGATCAAGAACTTGGAGGAAACTAAAGATGTTTTTGTAATTTATCTTTTTGTAGGCTTTATGGCATTTGTATCATGCGAATGATACAGAGAAACTGCGTGAATTTCTGTATGATCATAATGCTAAGATATTGGGGATCTCAATTGAAGAAGTCAAGAGTAAATATGATGATCCAATTCATACGTACGTGAACATGAATTTCTTTTTTCTTTTTTGAAATTTCGTTTTGATTTTGAGGTGGATTTTAATCTGATGTCAATTTTCTCATACAGAACAAGAACCTATCTTGATGTTGAAATGAGAAAAAAACTATGGGAAGAGTATGGAGTGAAAGGCTATGAGATTAGACAGGTCTGTGGTGATTTTCTCTGTCTTTTTTCTATTTTTCCTTTGAGTCTTGTCATGTTGACATGACATGATCATTTGATTTTCTTTTCGAATTGTGTGGTAAATTGTCCAGGAACCTGGAGAAGCAGTATTTGTTCCTGCTTATACTGCACATCAAGTTTGTAATCTAGCAAACTGCATCAAAGTGGCTGGTAAGTCTTGTATTGATCTTTTTCGATCGTTTTAGTTCATCTGATTTGATTAGTTTTGCTTATTCCTCCTTTTCTTTGGGGCTGCTTAGCGGATTTTGTTTCACCGATTTCAATTGAAAGATGCATGAAACTGAAAGATGAGTTTAGACAACAATTACATGAGAATCAAAAGCCTTGGAAAGAAGATCTTTTACAAATCAATCAAATGTTACTTTAGTCAGTTTGAAAAATCCGCTTTTTTCTTTTTTATTTTGGATTTCATTGAGCATTTTTTCAACAAGATGAAACAATCTGATGGGGTTTTCTTGCGTTTCTTTTGGGATAAAGCGCTTTCGATTCTCTGGGCAGGAATATTGAAGAGTTTACGATTTGAAAATTTCGACTGTTTGTTAACGTTAATATCTTATGGGATCGTAGATCTTTCCGAACACCCATTTCCGAACATCATTGTTGGGAAATCGTATTTTTCGGAAATTTAAAGATTTCCTGGGGTATTCTTTAATTTTCCTCCAAAAATTTGAAGCAAATGAATGTATGTAAAACAATCATCATAAAAATACATTGTTGACACCAAAATATTTAATTTTGCGATTGAGTTTTCACGCGCTACCTACTCCGTAAATAATTTAGCATGTAAATTTGCAAAATGTTGCACAAATGTATAAATTTACATCCATTAACTTCCGATGTATTTGAGCCTCGGAAAAGAAACTTCGCAAAAGTGAAAATTTTCACAACCAAAATATATCTTTACGCACAAAAACAAAAAACAATGAAACAACACGTAAAAACGACAATGAACCACTCGTCAAGACCTGACGCATCTTGCTCAGATGTTTCCTGTAAAGTCATATCTTTTAGTAAACACATATTCTTTGAATAACGCTGAAATATACAACGTCATACATACCTCTTCGCCAGCTGGTATGATGGCAAATTTTAAGTATCACTCTTTGAGAGAAAACTCTTGAAAATACTTCGAGAGCAAAATCATGAATGTGACTCACGGTTTGTGCCGTCGTCGTCATTAGGCGGTGGGAGCTTGGCTTGCCTCGGTAGGAGCGCTTGCCTCATTGGCAGCTTGCTTCGAGGCTATGTATGGATACGGCCAGGGTCAGTTGTTGTGTCCCTTAAGGCGTAAATGAGAGTTTGTTATGCGTACCTTTCCCGGTAGGGTCGGTAGCTTCAAGCTCTTCGGCTGGAGCGGTTGCCTCGGTGGCAGCTTGGTTCGAGGCTATTGGGGACGGCAAGGGTCAGTCAATGTTTCTGTCGCTCAAGGTGTAGATGATCTCGATATTGGATAAACGTACCTTCCTCGGTAGCCAGAGCTTCAAGCTGTCATGCGCAGCTTGTCCTCGGTGTACATATTGCCGTTGCTCGCTCGGCGCCAATGTTCATAACCCGGTGTGTTATGGGGATTGGAGCATGGATGTGAGTGGCCGAACTCGGTACAATGTAGGCACTGTTCCATGCCCGCATGTATGGACGGGTGAGATCTATGGTCGATAGCCCATGGAAAGATTTCGGATTGAGCGCGTGGATCAAGGTCGGGGAACCAAGTCTCCCACCACACGGGAATATAGTACGTGTCTGACATGAAAGGGTTAGAGGACGACATGAAAATGTTATCGAATGGAATCAATCAAAGAAAAGTCGGATGCAGATTGGTAGTATGCAGATGGGATGAAAGTTGGGAATTTGATGTGGATTTGGAAATGATCGGAGGAGGTACGACCTTTTAAGATGGTCCTCTGCTCTTTACTCGCGTCATCGAACAATCATGGTCCTTTGATGTTCCCTTTGCCGATATCATTCAAGATGATATCTTAACAGGAAGGGCATACATGGGATGCATGCTAATCTCGTACTTATGCTGAGTTTCGCCGACTTCTATGCTTGTCCCACGACCCATACACATATGTATATCATGTATGTGTGGCCACTTTGACTTGTCGATATGAGCAATTGGAGCCGTTTATGCTCGGAATATATTACTTGTAAATTTATATATTTGACCCCTTGAATAGATTTTTGCAACCGAGGTTTTTCACGGAATGTCATTCGAAACTTCGGAATGTTCGTAAAATTCCAGATTCGTCCGAGGAAACTTGAATTTTCCGGACATCACCCGATTGGAAAGGAGATCAATCCGTTACGGATTTCAATACCTCAATCTTTTAAGGATTGGAATACATCAATCTTTTAAGGATTGGAATACATCAATCCGTTGTGGATTGGAAAAATTCCGATCGGAATGTTCACTTTTCAGATGATTAATTGTAATGTCTGCAAAGGAGGTGTCGTAAAATTAAAGAATGTAGATGGTTTTTCATTTTTCGGATGTCAATCAGACCCGAACATCGGGTCGTAAATGTTTGGATGTAAAATTCAAAATGTATGTACATACAGTATGTAATATAATTTTCGGATGGTTTTTTTCCGACTGTATTTTTTGCGAACTTCATTTTTGTTCATGTGTACATATGGAAAATTATATATTACCCCAGAAAATCTTCAATTTTAAAAATCGCACGTCCCATATCTTATTGTTTTTCTGATTCTCAGCGCCCTTCTTCATACGCAAGCCAAGCAAGGTGATCTGCGTTCCCTTTCATTGATCACAAGTTATGTACTTTGTTCACCGGTGACTTTGTTCACGTAAATTTTGATTGTCTTAGGTATTGTTTGGATATTATGAGTTTTGGCAGTGCTTCCAAAATAACAGAAGTCTACTCTTCATAGTAAAAAAACCTATGCGGAAGAGGTATTGTGATGAGCAGAAGACAACAAATTGAGTAGAAGACAACAAATTTGTTGTCTTTCAGGACTTGAATATTCTTCAAAAAACTGCGTATAAAAAGATTCTAGACAGTGAATTCATCATGTACTATTCCAAGTCCCACAACGATCTATGATACAGGATCGTAGATTTTTGATTTGTTTTCAACATTTTGTCATAGTGTTGATTCCTTTTTGCAGACACTGTTTGGGACATAGAGAACAAAACCCAAGAGGCCAAGCACCATGGCAATGCATAGTAGTCAAAGCACAAGCGGTGTTTTCGTTGTTTGGAAAAAGTGTTCGCAAAAATACAAATACAACATAGATAACGAAAGTGAACCGTGCGAGGTCTTAAGAATGAGGTGAAGCCAGTATAAGATGCCCACAAAGGTCATTTGCAGATCAAAACAATGAGGTAAGATACACTACAAACAAATAAAAGGCCAACTTCTCGGAGAAAAACTTTCCAAACAGATAGAAGCAGGTCAGTACCAAAAGCAATTTGAGGGTGTTCATCAGGGGATGGCTGGTTTTTGGTCCTTCAGGAGCAGCATCATATTGAACCTTGGATTTTGATTTTTGAATGAGAGTCACTTGGTCATCCACCACGATACCGGTCTCTGGCATTTGAATCAAACAGTCACAGTCAATGGGCCAAAACAGTACGTGTCCCGAGAGAAGACAGATTCTGTTACCAATTGTATTTTCCCCATGCCCAGTGGATGTAGAAGCCTGACATTGTGTTGAAGGCCCGTGACCTCCGTGGAAGCTTGAGGTTTTTGTGATGCACACATTTTCAGCCACTGAAATTTTCCTTCCTTTGATGGACAAGCTCTTGGTTGGTAGTACTGCATTTTTGATAGCGTCCTGGTGCTGGCCTACACTGATCTTGTTTTTCGGTGCGAGTTGATCAACGATTTTGATTTCAGTCTTGCTGCTTGTTTCTGTAGGGTATCAGAGAGAATTAGGTTCTGAGATGATCCCTGAAGCTGTGATCCACGTACCTGAACTATCATCTTCGAATGATACATGAGCTGATGCCTTTTTAGTTGATTTGTGGGTATCATTTTGCTTCTTTGGCAAGACCTCAGGATGGGGAATAGAAGTTACACCTGAAAAAGACAAAGGTGTTCAAAGCTATGTTGAAAATATTGATTCTTGATGTCCAGTTTCGTACATTCTGGAGGTTCTTTGTCAACGGTAGACATCTTCAAAGAAAAGGGAAACGATTCAAAATCGGTGACTAAATAGCACATCAAGTAGATATGAGCGTTGGCGATGAGGATACTATTGACAAAAGTGTGGCTTACCTCCATACACGGGGCATTTGGGATCACAATTCGGATGGAGTGTCGTATTGGCAGCATGCTTGATCACCCCAGCACGGTTTAATCCGCTGCAGTCTTTGCATAGCTTCTTCCTTCCGTCCCTTATGCAGGAAGCTTGGTGAGGACATTCGTAGGCGAGGTTTTTCGGAGACATTCGTGGTGGATGGTCTTTGATGCTTTGGCCGTGTAAGTGTCAGAGGAATGACTGGGTTTCAAAGACCTACTCGTCTTTTACTAGAAAGGTATCATAAGAAGAGATGTTGGTAAACACTGGAGTCAAGAACTCCCTTTGTCTCATGATTGACAAAGGGAGTTGGGTCAAGGTCCATCTTGCTTTTTGAGTGATTTTACGCTACAGTTGTTGAATTTAACTACAGTTGACTCTAATCCCATACTTCCGGCTAACCCATAGAAATTTGGGTCCATAAAATTTATGGGCGGGGAAAAGTGGCCCAAAACCCAGTGGCCCAAAACCCATACCTCGCACTATTCCCATGACCCATAGTTTTTTTCAGGAAACCTGAGGTCAAAGCCATAACCAAAATTTGTCAAATCTGACAATTCATGAAAAGAATCTGCATGCCTGTGTATTTTTCAGCACATTCAGTCTCAAAATGGTTCCAAAAGACCTTTCACAATTCAGTGTATCAGATAGTGACACCGGTTTGAATGCCCTACAAGCAGAGAAAAACAAAAGACTCAAGCCTCTCAAGCAACTTATGAGTGAAGGGAAGAAATTGTTGGAGGCAGATGAACAATTCATAGGCTGTGCTGGAAACTTAACAGATGAAACACTTGTGTTGAGGAAGATCAAAGCAGAGGGTGATGTGACTATGGCTGCCAGTCAATTCAACAACAATGAGCTGAGCAGCCTTGTCCTTTGAAGCTGCTATTTGTGCTTCTAGCAGACATTTTTGCTTAATTCACACACACTCCTTAAAACAGCCCTTAGTCTCTGACTACTTCAAAAAATAGTGACTACATGACTCTTGTAACTATTGTTATTGTGCACAAAAATGACAAAATGAAACTTTTTTGAATGGCTGTTTAATTTTTTTATCTCCCTCTTGACCCATACTTTGCCTGCCAAACCTTAATCTATGGGCTATGAGGGAGATCCTCGAAAACCATACACCCACAAAACCCATAGTTTTGGGCTTCCATAAAATGGTATGGGTTTGGAGGGAGTTGACTGTAGCGTATTTTTGTGATTTGAGACCTATTAGGTGTCACAAAGTAAAGACAAGATGGTTTCATACAGATAAAATAACTTATGTATACAACAAAAACCATAATATCCTTTCTGGGGGAGTGTCAAGTTTCAGGTTTTTACGTGTTTAACCGTAGAATAATACCCGTTGTAGCATGATCTTTCTCATTATGTACCGTGAAAAGTGAGGAAGCTTTGATCGTGGTTTACGGCTGATTACATACATATAAAAACTCGGGAAAGTTTTTTCACAGTTAAACGTAAAAAAACACGTGTCGGTTTTTTGTTGTACACATAAAAATTCAAATCTGAGTTTGGGGGTTTTACGATTTTACCGTAAAAAACATTTAACAGCGGAAACTTTCTACGTTGTATGTACAATACATATATTGGAATGTGCCCTAATGCGCCGATGGACTCAGTTCCAGCTGTTCTGACGGACCTCGTCACCTCTCATACCGAAATCTCCGCCCTATTCCGCCATCAACACTGCTTAATTTCGGTGCTCCTCGAAAGCACTTTCATGCTTTTCGAAAGCATCAACCCCACCCACGAAAGCACGCATTAGCAAAAAAACAAATTCGAGAAGACCAGCGCTTCTTGAGGGTTTGTTTATCCTGCTCTTCGGCTCAAATCATCACGCTGAGCTAATCTCATTCTTGTGTTTTGTAGGCCCAATCATGTACCTCTCATCGCTCCTTTGACGTCATATTCTCGTATCACTTTACACACGTATGGCTGATTCATTCGTCTATGTTGTCTCAAAAGTGAGTATCAAATACATACCATATACATATCATTCTATCACAAACTGAATCTTAAGTCCCTGAACTGACGATATGAATGAACTCCGGATGGGTACAACAGGTACAAGCTTCCCTACTTCAACTCGTTTCTGCAATTCGATCTCTAGCCACCTATTAACCCGCAGGGACGCTCAAAGATGTAATCAGGTGAGTAACTCGGCCTGCTCCTTCAAACAATCGCCTTCTTTTGCTCTATTCACTGACAATATGAATGCCTTATTTAGATTAGGTGAGGACATGCCTGATTGGGTGATAAGCTTGAGAACACCGTATTATCTTGTTGAGACGGCTATTGGTCCACTTCCTTTCCCTACCATTTTTCGTGTGTGACTGCAAATGAGATCAAGGAACAGATGCAAGTTCGAAGTTCGAATAGGCGGCCTTCCGAATGTAGTAATCCCATGTGTCGGAATGGTAGGAATGCAAATTGGTTAGTAATACAATGTAATTCACTATGTTCTACTTTGGAGATTGACTGATGTGAACCATGATCCTATGACAATTTATTCAAATTTGCAGTCATTCTTTTTATGGATTCGTGATCGTGTTGCTATTGGTGAGTGTTTCTGAGAATCCAAGATATCATATTTGGTTTCCTGGTATTTCACCATCAAATTAAATTGCGTTGACCACTGATAATGACTTTATCTCCATTCACTTGAAACCCAAAGGCCAATATTGAATATTACGTTAGCGGTACGCGTATGTGTTCTTAATAATCTCACTTCCCTAAAATATGAGTCTTGTAGAATCCAAGTTGGGTCAAACACAGAAACTAGCATATGTACGTTTTTAGTCATCATGATAACATGTAAGAACCTTGATAAGGAAGTCATATTATCAGTGATAATGACTCATTCATTCATTGTCGTAGGCCCGTGTTTATATTCTCCACGTAGGACTCGATAGTGCATCTCGAGGCTTCTTCCAAACGCTCCTCTGATTTTATAAAGCCTTCTCACATGGCTAAGTGCTATCCCAGGACTTTCTAGGGTAAGGAATTTGAGGAATCAATTTGTCATTCACATAGCCACAAATGAACCCAATTTTATGATTATCAGACTGTGCCCTTTTTCCTCTCGCCAAAAGGAAAAATAGTTTTCATTTCATCGTCCACACATCTTTACCTTTCAGCTCATCATTTGTTGATTATCCATTCATTCCGTATGTGTAGAAAGTCACTGTGACAACAGAGGTATTCCTGGGAAGTGAGGAGACTAAGGGGGAGTACTCTCATATCACTCAAGCTAGGTACATGGATGTTCTTAGACCATTTTCTCCTTTGCATATATCATTTGGAACGGAGTACACAAAATTCCTGGCTCATTTACTTTCACCAAGTCCATACATGTGTTGACTTTCTATCAGGTCCTAATCCCTTTTCCTACAATCTCAAGTATATCATTCATATCACTAATTAATTGGTTTCTATTAGTTACAAATCTGGTCCTGTTTACTTTTGCAGCAATAAAGACTCGACTCGTGTTAAAGTTCCTAAGAGGCATCACTTCGAATATCTTTGATTGTAATCATATTTGCGGGTTGCTGCTTTTAGAGACAAAGCTTCATATGCCTCCCTGATCTGATAAAGAAGAGACCAAATAATATAAACAAATCTTCTCAGAAAGGACCAGAAAGCTAGAGGAAACAAATGGTGAAAGATACTCACTTGCTGGAAGGCAAAAGTGTCTCCACTCTTGTCCGGATGAAAGAGCAAACTGCATCGTTTGTAGGCTTTTTTGATATCAACGGCGGTAGCAGTATGTGAAAGACCTAAGCGCTAAAATTGCAGAGGAACAGATGCTGTGAGACGCATGCATTGACAGTATTCCAAAAGCAGAAGAACTTACTTCGTAAAGGTCAAGTTTTTTGGCGATGAAGCAGTTGTTTTCTCTGTTTGGATCAGTATACGGTTTGGTGGCGCGCGCATGGACCCTAGCCAACCAAAGGAAGTGTTGATGGCGTTGGTCAATGTATAGATAGTTAATCGGACTCCACAATTTTTTTAAAGTAGTCAGGACATCTTCAAGCTGCCCGAGACAGAGAAAGGCCTCAGCCAAAAGCAGGTGAATCTCAACCAATGCATTCTTCAAACTTTCTCCAATATGTATGTGACTGTTTCCCTCTGTTCGACGCACTGCATTACTCAAGAGAACCATAGCGTTTTGTGGCTGTCCTTCGAAAAAGTATTGAGTACCATAATTATAGATAAGTTTCAAAGATTCCACTGTTGCCCGTTCATCTTCTTCCTGTGCGCCACCCAAGTCATTGTTCTTAGTCCAGGAGAGTTTAAGTACATTAACATCAGCTTATCCTGTAGATTTGGCCATGAAAGTTTGATTGATCATATTTTACTAACCTTATCTTTCGAGAGCAGGATTTGCTGGGCCTGTACCTCACAATATAGTCGCGACAAATCCACGAAGAGTGTATGTTTAATGTCAATTGTCAGTGTCCTATTAGGATGCCAAGCGTCTTCCAGGACCTCATGAGCCGTGTCCGCCAGTTTCAGGTTTAAGTAACACCGAGTGAGATCCAGACAAACTCGAATCATGTCGGTATCAGGGCACCCTGGCATGTTCTGTGGCTTCTGCTCACGATAGAGACACAACAGCAAACGAAAGTGTTGCGCAGCTAGCTGGAAGTTGCCATCCTTATAGGCGTCCGATGCTTGACGCAGTAGAGAAGGGGAAATTCGTGCTTCCTGCTGAGAAACTCAAGGGCTTCAATCAGAAGACTGTTTATCTTTTCTACAGTCAGAATACATCTGGTAAAAACTGACCATTGAATTTTCCTTGCGGCGCTTGCTTGGATAGCAGGGATTGGCAATACAAGTATGTGGTTCGAGGTCGTCTGGTTCTGTAGTTCCGGCCTGCCGCTTTCTATCGGCAATACAAGTCTCTGGTTCGAGGTTTTCTGGTTCTGTAGTTCCGGCCTGCCGCTTTCTTGTTCTAACTGCTGGTGGATGTGGTGGACTTTCCTCAATGACATGCGAATGGCTATCATTTGCAAGGAGAAGGATGTCTTGGGGAATTGGTGAACATCGGTCGTCGGACAGTAAGATTCCGGAGCAGATGTCCATGCTTGCAAGGTGGGTATCGAAGTATGTCGAAGTCCTTCACCGTTCAAAACCGGTGCTTATAGAGGCTTCTGGTGACACAGTAGTTGCCAGTGTTGAGATAATACAAACGCTGAGATGTGCTTAGTGAATGCTGCTCCATGCTTAGAAGCAAACAGGGGAATTGAAAACTATTTAGAAAAGCGGTCAGTGTACACTGTAGTATTGTGCTCTACCTGAGCAATACCTCCTTCACGAGTTTTTAACAAACCAAAAAGTCCTCAGTCACTGATGAAGGTTTGGATCTCACGACTCAGTGGTTTTTCTATCAGCCTGACCCAAACAAGACTCCCGTTCCTTTCAGTAGACTGCCTTTGTACTACCAGGGATCCAACACCGGTGGATTCAAAGTCGTACAAAATGAAGAAGCTCAGCACGACTTACTTAGCACTGAGCTTCCGCGCATTCAGATTTTAAAGAATGGGAGACTTAATCTTTTTTGTCATCAAGATTGATATTGTTCTAAGGCAGACAGAAGGCAATTCCAGAACACGATTGACTGCTCATGGGGCCTAGTACTTGAGTGTGTTCAACCAAACAGAGAACAATAGCTCAAGGTTGCTTGAACTTTTTTCCCAAGGATAGCATATAAAGTATCTAGCGGAGACTCAAGAATAACACACCATCTGCACCAGATATCTTCATTCATAGTATGTCCGACAAGCTCAATTCTCTGTTCACTGACCCTCAGCGACGTCACTCGCGTCCGTTGAATCAATTAATTGATGATGAAAATCGAAATATATCTTATTTTATCCATGATACAAAGCCCAACTTCCTAGGGATTCTGACAAACTTTGTCCACCGCCTCCTCCGAATACTATCTACGCTCATGATTTTATCCTTCAACCTTTTCTTTCATCCCCTCATCCTCTTCCCTGCCTCTTCGCTGTGCATGTTTTTGGTCTTTTTGGCTCTCACGTCTACGGCATCCAACCATATCATCACCTGCTTCTCAAATCATGTATCTCAATTTATTGGCTTTGTGTCCCCCTCCTTCGGCCCCATAACATACATCTACTGCACCCTCCTCACCGGCCCATATTTTTGTCCAGGCATCATCAAGCAATCAGAAACAACGGTGTCCCAGATCACCCGATCAATATCGAAAAATGCTATGGTTGCATCCGACATTTTTGACTCCATCGTGGTGCTTGGAAATCCTCACGACCTAATGTTTCATCAAGGCGAAATCCTCGAACTTGCCCTAGCCATCCAATACTCCACGGAGTTTCACCATAAAGATGCCCTCGCACAGCAGCTGTGGGAGCTATCTGACATGACTAGCAAAGTGAAGGACGAAGTAATTGGTCTCAACAGCGCCGGAATCAACAAGTTTTCATTTTTGGCACATGAAGTCGGTTTTCTTCAACTTTCTCCTTTCTGTCCATAAGAATTACTGATAAAATGTTGTATTTATATGTGTCTCAGTACTCAAGGCTCCAAGAATTGATTGAGCATGTTCAGTCTGGTCATCCAATATACACAACCCAAACGGTCTCACACAACCTTGAAATCCTGTTTGCTCATCTTTCATCCGACCTATCTCAGCTTCTTGTGCAGATCGAGGGGGGCATTCCACTTGTTTCCAGGGCAGCTGACCTAGGGACCCAGCTGGCTCGACAATTGTCAGAGGAACATCAAAAGTTGATCACCACTAGACGATCTACCCCACTCTGGAGGAAGCTTTTGGATCACCACAGCCGGGGAGCGATGCAGCTGAAGCACGACATCACCCTTGCCTCTGAAAGCATTGATGGCTTGGTGAAAACTTGGAAGAGATTTGAGAATCTTAGGACTCAATTGGTAGCCTATCGCAATCATGTAACTGGCTTCAAGGTGTGCTGGTTGATTTACACTGCGATGAACTTGAGTACTGATTGGTAGCTTGTTTTGAGTACCTTCACAGGCATCGTTTGGGGAATTGCACATTGTTGATCATCAATTGTCAGCAGAAGATGAAGTACAAGCCATGAGACATGTAATAGGACGCCTTCAAGATGCGGTAACAGCGTCAAAAGAAAAGACATGGAATATGGGCAAGCAATTACTAGATTGAGTGTCGTTTTATTTTATTTCTTGTACCAACCGTGAAAATCAATATGATAGATTGTCTGTTAGGTGATATTATCACCTTTTAAGGGCTCTCTTAATTTATTCTACTCCCACAAGAAATGTTATGAGAAGTGTTAGGATAAAACACATGTACAATTTGACCTGACACACTGAGGAAGTAACAGTCTAAGAGCAAGGAAGACAAAAATGGAAAAGAGACCATTCTATCAAAACATGGGATAGTCTCGACTCACGTGAGTCTTTTTTAGTTTGTTTAGAAACAACTGAATAAATTTTAATTGCGGTATGATCCTGAGATCTGAACCACTTGGGAAAACCCCGACCGTGAGGGGTGGCCAGTAACACAACCTGATAGAACCTTGGATGGGATGGCGGGCCTAACAAAAACATTGATCACTAATTAAAACTTTTAGGAAAAAACTATGGTGCCAAAGATTTTTGGTTGATAATGTGATGGATGAACAAACGAAATAAGGTTGAAATTCCTAGTGGATGAAAAGACTCGCACGTCTACATTGTATAAGTGGCAAGAATACAACTCGCTGTGACTGCTGTGCTACCACTCTTCCTAGATTGTATTCTGTAATATACATCCTCTCAACTCCCTTGGGCTTTATTTCGGACCACACTGAACCTTTCCATTTGTCTTCCTCTATGCCCATCTATCAAAACGTATTCTAATTCCCAAAAAAATCAACCATCAGAATACAAATCACAGTCAGGGACATGCGTTCTGCATTGGAGCACATAAACTACAGCAAGCATCATGCTGGTGAAAAGCTGGGCTGTTTCCTTGTATCTCTGCCCGGCAGACAAGTTCCTCTCAATCAAGGAATCTATCTGTAACACCCCGCACCCCAAGATTTCACGAATTGCCATATGTTTACACCCATAGGATGGTTCACATGAAATTGAAGTATCTGCGCGAAATTGGAGCTCAGTATTGTAGTGCTGGGTCTAAACTTTAAAGACCAATTGGCTTACCCACCATATTCACGTTCTGTAGCATGAAGGCCGTATCCATATGAAGGTATCAATGTCATTCCTAGACCAATTTCTTCTTGGTCAGTAGAAGTGCCGATGATTTCGGCTCCCGGGGAGAAGCTGTGAGAAGAATAAGCATCGGTCTTTTCTACCAGAGAATCTGTGGTGATACTGTCATGATTTGTCGAGGCATCTGTAATCATTTCTTCTTTCCAGGCAAAATATATGTCTACGTCAGAGATTCAAGACTAAAGTTGCTACGTCGCTGCCAAGACCAATACGGCTGGGACTCAAAGCGACTCACCATCACGTTCCGTAATGACTAATAATGCTGGGGAGTTTCTTTGTGTAGGCTTTGCAACTAAAAGAAGCATGAGATGGAGATGAAGTAGTGAAATGAGTGATGAAATCTTTTGCAAGGTAGAAACTTCACTGTTACGATGGTCGTTGCTTGAGGTGGGTTTTAGATTGACAGTAACCATGTTTTGAAGTAGATTGAATTTGCGAGATACACTTCTATTCAGGCCTTTCATGTTCAAGCACCGCTTGTTGGTCCACTTTTGAATTGCGCTAAGCTTCTGAGACATGATACTGTTGATACCTCTCATGGTGAAGCAAAGAGTGTATCGGAAGGCAGAGTTGGAGGAGAGCGTGAAAAGGATGTCAGTTTTATGATGGATTGAGACGAATGATAAGATCTTGTATATATACTCAAGGCCCACTGATCAGTCGCGTTTGAAATTGTATCATCATTGAGCTGATTCCTTCGTGTAGTCCGCTTGCATCGCATAACCTCAATAAGCAAGGATCCTGATCACGACAGAACATCGCCTTTCAAGTCATCGTTCAGCTGGACCTAAATAACCGCGGCGAGATCAGATAAGGGTGTACAAGAAGTTGAGGTTGATCTTTGTCAGCGATGGTGTTTAGCTTGCTAAGACTTGCTATATGGGATTGGGTATTCTTGCCTACGCTCGCTACCTAAAAGAGTGGCTCAGGTAAAAACCTGTGCTGTACAAAAGTACTGTTGCTGCTGCATAACATATCGGAGTGTAGTAACAGCTGACTTAGCCATTACATACTGCCTTCTGAGTTCTGATCAAAGGAGCACTATGTTCTACATAGTATGTAGATCTGGCTGAGGACGTGTTGAACACACCATGTCTCAAAGTGCACCAATACAACAACTCAGACAGAACACTCACGACTTGGTCTCTGATCGTTGACTGCGCTCCATTTCGCACTTCGCTGATGTATCAGAGCTATCAGCTACTTTCCCTCGAGTTGGCTTTCCACATCTCTACTTCTGTACTTTGAATTTTGGCTCACTAAATGGCTTTTAATTATCCTCTTTCAGCTAATAGATTTTCCAAACCCAAACCCCCGCGGCTCCAATCTTATCAAACAGGGGCGTCAAGCTCAAGTACTACAAATGGAATGGAATCCCCCGAACTTTCTATCTGTTTGAATTGCGAAGATCTTGATAATCGTGTCAAAGAACTTTGTCAGCATCTAGGATACATGGAAAGTCAATTGGACGAGAATTGTCGAAATTCAATGCACATGTATGACCAGCTGCAGACGGAGGTCGGAGAGCTCTGGGACGCGAAGAAAAAGGATAGGCGTACGATACATGGTCCATTGAGACAATTGCGGGTGGACTTTGATTTGAGCACTCAATCTTTGGAAGATTTTAAGGACGGTCTAATAAGCATACATCACCATCTTCAAGAAAAGATACATGGCCTGAAAGGTCAGTTTTTCCGGCACCTCAGTTTCAATATGAGTCATAAGAAGCCTGATTGCCTCAAATATTTTGTCCCCAGTTGAACTTGACAGTACTTCAAAAAATTTCAGAGATATGTTGCAGCAACGCGACGAATTGGAAAACACACAAACAATATCCTTGAAGTCTCTTGTTGCTAGCACTAGAGCCGAACTCTTGAAGCTTTTGCAAAAAGGGAGAGGTGAGTAGATCGAACATCCACATTTCTGTCGATACCTGCGCTGATTCTTGGAATAATTTCTAGAGGAACTATATGAAAGCAGAAGTCTGCGCGTTTCATGTGAAAACGAAGTTTCCAACGCTAGAGCGGAGCTCAGGGAGTTCCAGCAAGAGGCCCGGGGTGAGTTTCGTCTATTTTTTGAGCTTATACCATGCCTGTGAGCTTCATTGATGTGCTCCTGATTCACAAGAGGAGAGAATTAGAGCTTCTATAAATCACGAACAGGCTTGTGAAAAAATTGGCGAGGCGTTGAACATCTTATCCGGTGCAATGAATGATTTTGAAGAAAGGCCATACAACAGGATAGGTAAGATGATTATTGATTCAACTGCCAAAGCTATGCCGATATCTTCCTAATATACATCAATTACTAGAGAAGCGCATTTTCCCTGAACTCTTGAAACTTTTGCAAAAAGGGAGAGGTGAGTAGATCTAACATCCACAACTATGTTGATACCTGCGCTTATTCTTTGAATAATTTTTAGAGGAACTATTTGAAGTCAGAAGCCTGCGCGCTTCATGTGAACACAAAGTTTCCAACGCGAGAGCGGAGCTCAGGGAGTTCCAGCAAGAGGCCCGGGGTAAGTTTTGTCTATTTTTTGAGCTGTATGCCATGAATGTGCGCTTAATTGACGTGCTCGTGATTCACAAGAGGAGAGAATTCGAGCTGCCATAAATCATGAGCAGGCTTGTGAAAAATGTGATGAGGCATTGAAAATTCTATCCGGTGTAATGAATGATTTTGAAGAAAGGGCATACAACAGGATAGGTACGATGATTATTGATGCAACTGCCAAAGTTATGCTGATATCTTCCTAATGTACATCAATCACTAGAGAAGCGCCTTTCCCAAAATGCCGATTTTGATCACATGGCTAGCCGTTTTGAGGAGAGCGCAGATATGTTCCTGAACAATGGAATAAGTGGTTAGTCAATTCTCACCTCTTGCATAGAAATACCGAGAGGACTATTTTCCTTACGATATGGCTCACTGTAATCTTATTTTGAAAGTATCTCCAGGAACAGGGCGCCAAATAGTCTTGGGTAGTGTAGCCGCAGCCAGGACTGAACTGCCCAAAGGTAAGTGGCATTTAGAGCATATTCTGTAAAGGTGTCCTTCTGTAAAAATTACAACCCCGCTGATGAAATTGTTGATCTCAGACAAGGGGTACTACAGACATGCTTTATGGATCCACCGCAGAATAATCTTACGGTTATGCATCGCAATCGTCGTTCTATTGATATTATGCATCACAATCATTGTTTGGGGGTTCCTTTTGGTATGCTTTAGAAGCATGCCTGGAAGATACCCACAGTACCTTGGCACAGCAAGCATTGGAATCATATAACAGTGGTCATTTCGGATGATGATATTTGAATTTGAGTCATTTTCATATGTATTCAGTCTTTTTATTATATATTATATACTTGTACTTTGTTTATCATTCACCAAACTTATGGAATGAGATCTTTTGTTAATCATGACGTTTTGTTGTACTGGAGCTAGTGAGGTAGGTGGCTAAGATTTGGCCCGTAATCATATCTCAATGATTGGTCTTTGTATTGGATTTCAAAAAGGGTGACTTAGAGTTTAACCAAATCATTCAACCAGTGAGGTTTGTTGCCGGCAAGGGTTAAGCATAGATTATATGGTAGGGAAGTATCGTGGTTTTGAATAAAAGAGACTTACATCATCATTGAGAATGGATAACTGAGGTAAAATATACTGACTTAAAGAAACATTAGAGTGGAAGCCAGGAGGGTCGTAATGCCCACGCTACAGTTGACTCCCTCGAAACCCATATCCCTCTAATCCCATACTTCCGGCTAACCCATAGAAATTTGGGTCCATAAAATTTATGGGCGGGGAAAAGTGGCCCAAAACCCATACCTCGCACTATTCCCATGACCCATAGTTTTTTTCAGGAAACCTGAGGTCAAAGCCATAACCAAAATTTGTCAAATCTGACAATTCATGAAAAGAATCTGCATGCCTGTGTATTTTTCAGCACATTCAGTCTCAAAATGGTTCCAAAAGACCTTTCACAATTCAGTGTATCAGATAGTGACACCGGTTTGAATGCCCTACAAGCAGAGAAAAACAAAAGACTCAAGCCTCTCAAGCAACTTATGAGTGAAGGGAAGAAATTGTTGGAGGCAGATGAACAATTCATAGGCTGTGCTGGAAACTTAACAGATGAAACACTTGTGTTGAGGAAGATCAAAGCAGAGGGTGATGTGACTATGGCTGCCAGTCAATTCAACAACAATGAGCTGAGCAGCCTTGTCCTTTGAAACTGCTATTTGTGCTTCTAGCAGACATTTTTGCTTAATTCACACACACTCCTTAAAACAGCCCTTAGTCTCTGACTACTTCAAAAAATAGTGACTACATGACTCTTGTAACTATTGTTATTGTGCACAAAAATGACAAAATGAAACTTTTTTGAATGGCTGTTTAATTTTTTTATCTCCCTCTTGACCCATACTTTGCCTGCCAAACCTTAATCTATGGGCTATGAGGGAGATCCTCGAAAACCATACACCCACAAAACCCATAGTTTTGGGCTTCCATAAAATGGTATGGGTTTGGAGGGAGTTGACTGTACTAGGTATTGAGAATAAGGAGATTCAACACCCAAGAAGTGACAAATCCCCGGTGGCGTTAAGACTGGTGTTTAAACCCAACAGAAGCTGAAATTGTATGCACTCTTCCGGTATTCGGTATCGCGACGTGTTGACAGTGCGAACTTCAGGATAAGCAAAACTCCAAGGTCTCTTGCATATCTTGGCAAAGAAATGTCCACTAGATACATAAAATAATCCAATACAATGCATCTATCGTGGCTTTGGTTTGTTTTAAAATAGTTCCTATTAGATACCTCTTCAATCCTTACTTTTTTATGTTTACGCCGATTAATTAATAGTAAAACCCTCCTTTAACCAAGTCCCTCTACAAAGACCCGCATACTGAAGAGTTCTCAAACCGCTGTAAATCCAATTGTTTGGTGAGTGACACAAATCAACATATGCATGCATCATGAACTCTGAAATCACATGCGTGTGGGGCTCAGAGCTTGATTCTTACATGTAGTATGAGCGAGCAAAGGGAAAATAAAGCCCATCCCACGAGTCTTGCCCTGTTCCCATTTGATAGCCCCATGCCGCTCAATTCCTCTGGATATCTCTTTTTTGAATCATTATAAGTAGAATTGAAATCAGTAGTCGTTTCACATACTCTAGGATCTGAGATGGACAATTCAAGGCAGTCAGATACGAACGAAGCCGGCCCACCTCCAAGGAAAACCGCCAGCATTCCCTTTCCCACCTGGGCAGCGTTTGGCGAAACGTTTACGCCGTCGACCCTAATGCTCCTCCGCGACTTCGATCAAATCCGGCACTTTTGCTTCGCCGGTCTTGATCAAATTTCTCAGGCTCGAAGGAAGTCAGATGGGCTGGTTGTAGCTATCAGAACCGTCGTGTGCACCCAACAGGCTCGATCCTTTGCTCCCGGACTGCATGATTTAATCAAAATTTTACCTCAGCTTAATCACCCTGCCATAGTTACCTTTCTTGGACACATGGTTCAACCGAATCAACTCCATATCGTCCTCGACTATGATCCACAAACAAATTCACTCCGAGCGCTTCTAGACATCAGGTCCTTCTCTGAAGATGAAGTCGGTCACTGTGCTGTACAGATTGCAGGTGCCTTGGATTACATACATGCAAAGGGGGCCGTCGCTCGATCGCTTGATCCTTCAGGCATCCTCTTGATGTCAGGATCCCGAATAAAACTCGTAGCACTTCATTCAATGACTATACTTGACACCAATGGTTTGACTTCCGGCGATTATGGCTCCGTGGAAGATCGAGCACCAGAGACGCTAGGCGGCGGTCACTATGGTACACATGTTGATTGGTGGGCGTTAGGCATCCTGATTTACTACTTGAGGGTCGATTACAAACCCTTTAATCCAAGTATTTTTCACCTTCAAAGGCCTAATTCTTGTCGAGGCTATGTGTAAGACCTACGGTCATTACACAATACCCAATACAATACACTTAATATTTAACACTTAGCTTAGGCCTTGTTTTCATTATCTATAAAGTTGTTTTCGCGTTCCTCTTGCTTCTGGCTCCTTAGAGATATCGGGACTAATCTCCTGCCCCTTATCCTTCGGAACCAGGTATGATCTCATTATTTCTTTCATCTCTTTTCTTTCTTATTTACTAGATAGCCTGCCTTAGAGATATCGGGACTAATCTCCTGCCCCTTATCCTTCGGAACCAGCGCTTTCCGTTGATATTTGCAATTTCAGATTAGATCTCTTGGGTTCTAGAAACCCTTCGCTGTGTTCGCACAGTGTCCCGTCCGTAGTATTGAGTGAAGGTTCTCCCGAACCTTACACTTTTTTTTTCTCAAACCCAAAATAGAGAATCCGAATTTTTTTTTCTTCTTCCTAAACTTCAATTCAAACTTAACATAATCGATACAACTACTCAAACGAATGCGCCACGTCAAACCGATTGAGTTCGAGGACTTCATTTGAGAACTCAAACTTAGTTCGCATTCACTTACCCCACGATTGATCGTCGTGTATGACGACACGTCGACAACCTCATCCTACCAAACCGCCAGGCCCGCCAGCACCTTTGCCAGACCCAGAAGCGATTATTCGCGCGAATCGACGATTACAACGTCAATCAAGACCAGATCCGAACATCGCTAGACAAGTTGTCTCTCAACAACAACTGCCGATCACGCCTTCTCGTAACCGAACAGATCAAGTACCGCCGGTGACACCGATCCGCACTCGTACCGAACCTTCTGCCTTACCTCCTCTGCCAGAGTCAGACGAATCGCCACTTTCTTCTTTACCACCATCTCCTACGCCAGACCACGATTCCCGCAAACCATTCCCAAAAATGACCGACGAAACGACTACCAAGCCAGACTCAGACTTGATGAAGGCCATCGTTGAATCACAAGTCGCCAGCAACCGCCGAATGGAGAAGTTCGAGGATTTAATGTTGAAACTTATGATATCCAAAGAAACAACTTCTGGTGCTTCTACCTCGGAGGAATCTAAACCACCGCCGGGGTTAGATTTGACAAAGTTCCGAACGTCTGACGGACCAGTCTATAAGGGACCGTACCGCGATGCCGAACCTTTTCTCTTATGGTACTCGTCGTTGAAGACGTTTTTCCGCACTAAAGGTGTGACGCTGGATACTGCCGATCACGCTAGTGCATTCGGTGCGGTACATGTTAGGCGCTCTGCTGCCTGTCGTCTCCCCCTCTCTTTTTGTAATTTTT